CGCAATGCGTTAACCAGTGGATGTGACAGTGGATGAGCCTGGATTGACGGCTGACATTTGACATCTACTTTACCAGATCCTATTCCATTGCCCCATTATTTGTGAGGCGTGTTACTGCTAAAGCTTCCCTGTCTTGGGTAAGTATTTTTCACACTTAGTATTACAGATTTCAACTTTCAAAAGCTGCAGGGGGTGTAAACACAATAGGAAATGCTCCCAATTGTCAAAGCTCCACTAATAAATAAAACAGTTTTTGGTCACCGAGATTATCATAGAAAAAAACAAAACAAATGCATGTCTGTTGGCATAACTATTACCATATGTTAGAACAGTTTTATTCCAGTGTCTCCGTCAGCCTCAGAATTGGCCTACATTACCTCAAGCATTGTTACTCTAATCAGCTAATGAATTGGCAGCTAATCTAATGATGTCACATAAACACTCTGCATGTTTGTGTGTGTGCACAGTGGGAGAGAGAATGGGGAAGTGACTGAAGAAGCGACAAACATGAAAAAGAAACTGTGGGAGATCTTCAACAAACATCTTCACCCCTTAGAGTCGCTTCAACTGATTGAGTAAATAGATTCAGTGCCAGTCGTTTTAAAATAGTCAGGCTGAGGTCCTCATGGGAGACGAGGCTCTGCAGGGTCACAGTCGGACTGTAAGCGTTCAATCCATCATCCGCCAGTGAGTAAATGAGATAATCCCATAAATGAATGGCTGGTTAACCTTGCAGTTGGTGGTCAATACTGTACGAGTGTCACAGGTTGACCTTTCTATTTATTGGCTCACATACTAATCTGCTGTGTGCGTTCCACCAAACATGACAGAATTATTGTCCGGGGTGGCTGCAATTCTGTACGTGTATTCAGACTGCAAGCAACGTGATAATTCTTTACCCAGAGACACAATTACCATCTGGGACTAGCACAACATTCACTTTGTTTGTGGGTTCTTCTTTACTTATTCATGCTTGTTTGTTCAAAAGCCATGTATGTTTTAGATTGAGCGAGATCCATTTGCTGTCTGGTTGAAAGTAGGAATGGGAATTTAAAGTAGTTCAAACAGGCAAGAGAAGGGGAGTGAGAAAGTAAAACTAATATGAAACTTTAATAAGCAATATCAGAAACAGAGGGGTTGACCTTCTCACAGCAGGGTGGTGATGAAGGAAAATGTGTACTTTGACAATCTGACTCGAGCCCATATCGAACTTGGGTAAAGTATTGTAAGGCCCCCTGAGGTAAATTGTGATTTTGGGTTATATCAATAAAATTGGACTTTACTTACAAAACAAAAGACTGTAAATGGGCGCCCAAACTGGCTTACCAAAAGTCCATCCTGCAGCTGGGTCGAAAGCATCAGGGGATTGTTGCACCACAGACCTTTTCTCTTGTAACACAGGAAGCCCCTTAGCGTTGCACTCTTGCATATGCTAACTGTACTAGTTGTCATTAGCTACTTACTATTAGCTGACTTTACCCGGACTGGGAGGTTTATTTAAATTACTATAGCATAACTTTGCAGCTAACAGAGCTTTAGGAGGAGGTTTACAGGCCTGGAGCAGGGGACCAAGCAGATAATACTTCCAGGGAGAGGGGCACCAGAATGAGCACGAGAACCTTAGCTGGGTGTGCGGGCAACGGAACCTGGCTCACAGCATCCAAGAGGCCAGATAATTTACAGCAGCTCAGACCAGGACTGATCACGGGGACAAATAAGACACGATGGCTTTAGGCGGGTACAGGAGAGGCAGAAGAGAAGCAAATTCGTAGCGAGTTAACTATAACTGTACTGTACTTTATAAATTATTCATCATGTTGATAAGTCTGCAAGTATTTGTTTTTGTGAGGTTAGAAGTTACTTATTCAAGTATTTTGAACGAGACTTGTGTAATGTTATACTGTGTTGAATTTACAGAATGTTCAGTCGCCTTGCTGCTCGTTCGACGAACAAATACAGAATCATTATCTCTGTTAGCATTTAACAGGTGGCTCTTAAAATACATATATTTAAATAATTACATTAATAGCATATTATAAAAATGTGATGACTCGTTGACTAATAGTTGGTCAACTAGGCTAATCTTGAGTTGGGGGCAGCTCCAGAAAGTGATCCCAGGAGAACTGTTGAAACCACAGTTTGTGTTTCGATCTGAAGTCAATAATTTGAGGGTTTTCTGTTTATCTGCATTTAAAGCTACCTAATTAATGATTAGCAGTTACCAATGTTAATATCAATGTCATGTTATAACATATAAATACCAGATAAGAAAACTAGGGCTACAACTAACGATTATATTCGTTATTGATTATTTTCTTGTTTCTTGTCTCTTGTCAATTACTTGTTAATATGTCAGAAAAAAGTGAAAACATATTAGAATACATATTAGGACTTCCTAGAGCCCAAGGAAATGTATTTCTTGTTTTATTCAGCAAACAGTCCAAAAACCAAAAAATAGTCAGTTTACTACCACCTAGGGAAAATAAAAGCATTATTTATACACAAATAAGAAGCTGGAACACATGACTCTCTGCAGACTCTGCACTGTGCAGTACTAACTAGACAAAGCCTCTCTCTGACGCACTTCCCACACTCTAACACAATAGTAACCCCATGACTGACCTCCCTCATTAATAGTCAATCTCAACCTCTTACTATATAGATCAAACATTTGTGATCTGTATTGCATTGTGGCTGTTATACCCATCCTGGACCCATTAGTACATGGGAAAGTCTGAGCCAGCAGAGGGCATGCACTGAGCTGGAGTTCATTACAAAAGTCTGCAAGGAGAGACTCACATACTCTACTTGTTTATTTCCCTTGTAGAAGTAGGAAACTTTGCTGTGTCTGGTTTAGATGTCAGTTTGTTATTTCACATTGCAGGAGCGAGTGGTCAGCAAGTCCATGCCAAAAAGATGAAATGTTACCTCTCAAAGCTGTTTTTTTCCCAGGAAAGAAGTTATCTGTGCTGTCGGTCTTGTTATTTTGCTAGATGTGGAAACATACTGTTCTGTCCTAACTGCTGATGACAGTCACCTCACACTGATACATAAAAGCTACACACAAGCTTTAGTCATGCTGGGTAAAAAAAAGCGGAAATGATTCTTATCAAGGCCAAATTCTAACTTCAGCCTACCTCCTTTCTTCTTTAAAAGTTAAAAAAATATTTTTGTCATTTCAAATCATCAGATTCTCCCATCACAACAATAAACTCTGATATCAAACACACCAGCCATTTTCTTCAAACTATATTTCATTCACAATATTTTATTGTGTTTACATAGTTAGTAGTGAAAATTGAAGGTAAGAGGTGAAGTCAATTTACGAAGCCAAGTGTGACAAGAAGGTTACTGAAAGGTCCAGAGTAGTGGTTCTTAACATAGTGTCCGGGGACCCCCTGAGGGGAATATTTTAATTACACTACTATTGATTTAAAATTAGCCAAATGATAGAATGTATGAGAAAGAATGACTATTCATAGGTTTCACACTCCATCTAATTTAATCTGCCAATCTACAGTTATGGAATACCTACATCTTATCAAATACGGGTCAGCCTGATTTGTATCAAGTTGGGGGTCCTTAACAGCAAAAATGTTGAGAAACATTGCATTAGAGGGTCTATTTCTACTACTTTGACTATGTATTTTTACTTTACACTTTGAATGAAGCAAAGAGCACCAGAAGCCAGTACTGAAGATGAATCCCCTGAATCCTTCACAGGTCTGTCTGACCTACTTTCTCAAGCTACTGATTCTTATCCACAGGAGAGAAAATTCTCACCTGTGCTGAGTACCTATTCTTTTTAATGGTATGTACTGCTCTCTGTTTATTCAAACATAACCTCAGGACATTAGATATAGTGCCCAGTGGAATCCAGCCCGTATACTGCATAATTGATAAGGGACTTAAAACAGTTTCCAAAATCTTGTCCCACTTCTTACCAAGAGCCTTGAGTTAAATGCTTTTGACAGAAATGTTTGTCAAATGTGTTATATCTGGAAACCAAACCAACAGGATCCCAAAACAAACATTCACAAGAACAAACTGTTGTTTTCAGCATTTGCATTCAGCAATGCAAAACACAAAGCACAATAAAAAAAAAGACAATCTACTCAATAACAGAAAATAATTACAAGCTTAGAATAGACAGTATCATATGAAAAATTATCAAACTATCTGACTTCAGCATTCTACAAACTTGGTTAATAAATTATTGCCCTTAAGGTCTGAGACAGAATGTTAACTCCTGGGGGGGTTTGATAGCTTAGTACAATGTGCACCCCATGTAGGCTGAGTCCTTACCGCAGGGGCCCGGGTTAGATACCCACACCTTTGTTCGACTGTTGGAAGTACAAGAGAGAGGCTTTGTCTAGACTCTTGAATTTCAACGTGTATACAAAAGTATCATCTGCATATAAATTAACAGTACAATCACAAAAAGATTAATGGTAGATCATCAATCAACTAAACTAAGTTGTTCTATTCCATACACACATTATCTACTGCATGTCTGTCTTTTCTGGGAGAAGATTCCCTTCCCTGTTGCTCTTTCCTTCTTCTTCCATTTTTTCCCAGTTAAAAGGGTTTTGTGGGTGCCTGGTTAGCTCAGTCGGTAGAGCTAGCGGCCCGGGTTCGAATCCGACCTGCGGCCCTTTGCTGCGTGTCATCCCTTCTCTCTCTGCCCCCCTTTCCTGTCTATCTTCAGCTGTCACCATACAATAAAGGCAATAAAAGGCCAAAAAAATAACTGGGAAAAAAAAAAAAAAAAAGGGGTTTGTGAAGATCATATACTGTACAAATTGTAAAGCCCCTTGTAATTTGTGATATTGGGCTACATACATTAACTTGAATTCCTAAAAGTTACAAAGACTAAAAAACACTGAATTTGACATTATTTTGAATGTAAAGGCCAACAAACGAGGAACAATCAGCCACGTCAGAAGTAAAACGAAGCTTTTTAAATATCTGAGCATGCTGCTCACGGCTATCCTTCTCACCTGTACTGAGCCTGGAAGTGTTCCTGGACAAAACTGTGCCGATCTCGAGGCTGCTGTGTGTTGGCTGAACTGGGACTGGCAGGATCCTCCAATGAACTGGGTCCCTGCAGACGAAGAGACAGAGAAAGACAAAAAAAATCTTAAGTTGACATGGTGTATATTTGTACTTCAACTTTTAGGAAAATTCTTGATGAGTAAATACAGGCAAAAATACAAGTAGGTCTACATCATCATCATTATCTCTTCTTTAACAGGAGCGAACAAGCACTCCATCCACAGTTCAACTTCTTCACCAGCTGCAGCTGCTGGCTGTGAATAGCAGCTTTAACCATACTTAATTGCAGATATGGGCAGTATGGGAGATAAAAGAATGACTCAGCCTCTTGGACTTTGCCCTTACCCTGCAGAATTTAGAGCCAATATATTGTGCAAAAATGAAATCTGGAGTCATGAGATGTGAGTCATGAGTATGGGATGAATCAGCATTTTTGCTCACCAAAATTTACTTCAATAAACTACAACATGCATAAACAGAGACATAAATAGATATAGAAAGAGAAACAGAAAGAGTGATATAAAGTATTTGTTCCACAAACGAAAATAAATCAAAGGGCGCATAATGTGTGAGATAATTAAATGGGTAAAAGGGTGATTAGCAAAATGCTAGAGCAGGGAGAGGAAAGTTAAGATTGTAAATGGTGGAACAGTCAACACAGATCGGAGTCATAGAAATATTTGCAATGTCAACCATCCACTGCGTAAACTAAATGGCTGTGATACCCTACATGCAGTGTCGAAACCAGCAGGAGGTCAAAGAGACTTCAAAGATAAATATAAGGATAAAAGAATGAAGGCAATGAATAAAAGATGGACAACTATGGCTTGAGGAAACAGAGCAACAGATTGCTGAATCTTTATCTTACAGAATATAGTTGATATTAAAACTGTCAGTGAATACTTGGTGGTAATGACTGATTTAACAAACACAAGCGGTTCAGGCCAACTCTTCTGTTATAGTTCTGCTGTGGAGTCATGATGCATGACTGTTTATTCACCTCTGTTAACAAAAAATAAAAAAGCGTTGGTGTGTTGTCTCATGGTACAGTGGCAGCCAATGAGGTTGACCCTACACCTCCACCTCCTGTACCTATTATATATTATTACAACTCAATTTAAGATACTATTTCAAGCTGGAGCCACAGTGGAACAACAATGCACCACCTACATATAAAAATGTGCAACAACAGTTACATTTATAGGACCAATTCAGGAAGAGTAACAGGCATCCTCTCTGCAGAGTGAGAATACTGACAATGAGCAATTCTATAAGCGTCCTCTATGGTCTAGGGCCTGTGTTGCATTAAAAGTCTGATATACTACACGCTGTAACTACTACCCTTTTCTATTACTTGCTTTATGCCGCATGAAAAGTCATACTACCTTCTCTGCAATAAATGTTGGTATTGGCCATAAATCGTGCACTGTGGAATTGTTTAAAGGCCCTGCACACCCACACAGGTGTTCTTTTTAATTACTCTGCATAATTAGACCTTTAGCCAGCTGCCTAATCAGGTGATTATAAGTGAAAACAGCTGTGTTGGGGAACTATGGGTGTGCAAGGGTTTCATTTAAACATTAATTCTAGTGGTATAGACCTTTTTTCGAACCAGACAGTCTGACTTGTCATAACAGGAAAAGCACAGACACTAATTTTATTAACAATGGCTCAGTGACAACAAGTTTCTCAGTAAGCCATGATAGTGAGCCAACATAGTGGACATTATCAGGACCCTGAACCTAAATGGAATGCAATCATATATAATGTTACTAATTAATGTAACTAACTTTACTAACTAATTAATGTTGCTTTTCCTACTATGACAAGCTAAAATGTCGGCTGTGAAAAAGGTCTGTTGGGCTGGGTTATCCTGAACTGTCTTCACTTGTATCTAGAATGATTGTAACTCAAAAGGTTTTTTACTTTTAAGGTAATTTAAGGTAATTTTTTTTATCATATAAATTACAAGTACTTTGATTTACAGATGAAACATACAGTGGGTTATATTTTAGTTTCTCAAGTAATCTCAGTTGAAAATCAGATCTGTAGGCAACAATTTCAATCAAGCAAGCTAAGACTGAGAATCTAATGACTGTATTACAGGGAAAAGATTGAAACTTTAAAGTGTTTGGAGTCCTGGAAATGATGGCCAGAAACAGATTACCAGAGATTAGTCCACGCTACTTTGGGATGTGCATGACATACTTACTGGTTCCGTTTTTTCAGGATGAGATTTCAAACTTTTCCCTTCTGAGGAACCTCGAAGTGGTACCCACATACTAATTAGAAAACACAATATTCAGGCTCAGACTCAAACTTGAGTGTGGCACTCAAACAAAGTCAGCTCAAGCCCACTGAGATACCTAAGGTCTGGTCTCTCCACCTTCTCAGGGGAAATGAGACTTTCTGCGCTGGTCTCGCATTGTGTCTTTGGAAATAATGACAATCCAACTTTGATGACGCTTTGCTATTGTTCAAACAAAATCCAATCACTGCTGCATTCACTTTGAACAAAGAGCTGCTTTTTGGCATCTTTGAAGACTTCTCCAAGGGTGGCTCTTTCCAGAATATATAATGAGGTAAAAGCTCAAAGCCAAAAAAGCATGTGTGACAGTTTGTTTTCTCCACCTCAGCCCATTTCCAGGCTTGGCCTTGTTTTCACTTTAATGTTTTGTTTCTACTGCAAAATGTAATACTTTGTTACTAAGTGAAACCACAAGAAAAGATTGCCAATTAGTCCACTGTGTCTGACAAGAAATACCAGTGATAAGAGAAAGAAATATCTTGACACGGCCTCATGCTATATGTAAGATAAGAGTAGAATTACTTTAAGGTAAGAACTAACAGAATGATACATAACCAATACAGAAGGAGGTGCCTGTGCCTCGGAGCTTGAGCATCGTATCACTTGTAATGGACAGTTAAGAAGGCCTGTGTGAGCTATTGAGTTTGAGTTTGGAAAAGGGATTAATCGGCACCTGGGCACCAGGTGATGCAGCAGGGGCTCTTTTAAATTGACTTAAATTTCCATTTTGTGCTGGTGCGCTTTCACTTAGACTCAGGGTGCAGAGAGTTGAGTGCCAGAATGAAAAAAGAGTATTGCCCAAAAGTTATTCTGAATACCTGAGATGCAAAGCTTCTCAATCTTGGATGGACTGCATATGATTAGAGTTAGATTTTTTATAAAAATCTTTAGCAGTCATATATGATTTTACAGCTCCATTAAGCCATATTTTCATACAACACTGAATCAAGTGACAGAGATGTCTTTCCTTTATCTCCCTGCATGGATTCGTGAACATGCCACAAACAAAAGAAGCAACGGAAATGTGTTATTTTAATAACAATGGTCTATCTTTCACATGTGTATATCATCTCTCACTTGTATAGCTCAAGCCGAGCTGTGACCGACTCTCTTTCTCTCAATTTCACCCTCTTTTCTCCATCTCTTCTCTGGAGGACAATGGAGAACAATTCTCAGACCCTCAGAGACAGACTAGGTTACAAGCATCACCATGGAAACCCTGGCCTCATTCCCCCCAATCAACATGTGGGAACAGAGAACTTTTTCATCATTTACAGCGTGGCCTAAAAATAAAGAGGAAGGCTAATCACCATAGCCATTCACGTTTGTCTGAAGCATTTGCCATAATGTCCCTCTGTCAATGTCCAATGGGGATTTATGTGTAGATTTCAGTACATTTCTAAATAAATACCCTAAAAGTAAATTAAATTCTTTACCATGTAGCTCAGCCATACAATGGTACCCATTTTGCATTTGTGATGACATTCATGACGAGCACTTAAGTTGTGCCTACTAATGGTGGACTTGCAACAGGAGGTATAATATGGTGAAGAGAGGAATATGAACAGGAGACAAAGACCGGCTTTGATACTTCATTCTCTATGCATGGTAAATCCAAACCAGGGCTTTTACTGCACACTTGAAAAGGCACCTTCCACCATAAGCAGGTCAACAATCTCTCAGCCAAACCTGGAAACAGATGACTCCATTGAGCGAGAATGAGCATAACAGATAGTGAAAGAAAGACAAAAACTGCATGTGTGCATAGCAAACAAAGACACACTGTATATGTTAAAGAAATATACCGTGTGTATGCTTAAGACACAGGGAGAGACAGAAAGAGCACTGAGTGTACTGTGCCTCTTTATTTAGCACCCAGGGAATAATGAATACCACCACAACGTTGTTCCAGCTCTGCTATCGTCTGCCAAAAATAGATGCGGGGGCCGGCCGCAGCAATAACAAGTGAATACTAATATTCAGAAGCACTAAGCTGTTCAATTGTCACACTGGGTGCAATCCAAAAAACTCTAAATGCTAACAGATCTAGGCCATATTCAACTGCTTCCTGTTGACTGGGGACAAAATTACCGGCAGCATCTACATGCCCCTGGCAGTGTAATTGATTTCTAGGTCTTACAGAGCTCTACATGTTCCAGCTAAAATAGCTGTATTCCCCCTGTTCTGTTCCCAGAAAAGATAGCAGAGCAATGAGAGAGAGAGAGAGAGAGAGAGAGAGAGAGAGAGAGAGACAGAGAAGTTATAAAAAAGTGTCAACTACAGCAGGTAACTGAGGAAATTACTATAGGAAATATTCAAAGGCTCAAATGAAAGACTTACTTTTTTTGCAAGGATAGTTCCATTTTGTTCATGCTTTTGTGTTTCAAGACAGTTTCATTAATGGTTGCCCAAACAGCCAGGTGTCGGTCTATTATAACGCAAAGAACTGATCTAATATAGCATATGAGCCAAAAGCCTGGAGGACTTGAAGAAATGGGTTCTGGGATATAGACACACACACCTTTGAGAATAAGAACTGAATTATTTGTGATGTGTGTTGATAGTTGGTACTGTTTTTATTATTACGCAGGTGCTCTAAAATGAACTTTCAGCTTTGGCAGCGATACTGAACAAGTTTTTTGGGTGTTTCTGGGATGTAAAAAGAGCTAAGGACACTTTGAAAAGAACATTGTATCCTCAAACTCTTTTGTTCTCCCCTTCTGGTTACTCCTGCCCTGAGC